GTGGGGGTGAGGCATTTTTTTAACGGGGGAGGGAGCTTTTTTTTTTTTTTTTTGCAAAATCGACATTTTTGAGATTCTTGCTATGATAACATTCCCTCATCATAAAGGTGGTCTGTCAGGGCCAGCAACGCCTTCTCTGCTGGCTCGGACACTGTCAGAATCACTATATTTTAGTGTATATTTTATTTATTTATTATTACTAGTATTTCTACTATTAATGTAAAGCATGGCAGCATCCACAGCGATGAACCTGAAGGAATAATGTTGGATGGAGTCAAATATCTTTTCTCTTCACCTCCTCCTTTTATTTAACAGAACAGCAGAACTGAACCTTTACACTGACTCTGGAAACAGTAGACTAGTGACACATAGTGGACAAATCAAATCATTGCACTGCAAACAAAAACAACAGTAGTAACTTGAGGACACAAATCAAAATTCTCAACAAATATTATTACTTTTGAAATATCAGTTCTTGTCGTTTCAGTTTTTCTCCTGACTGCCCTGTTTCCAATAACTCATATTTATTTTAAAGCTTTTATTCAGTCATATTTCAAGCATCATCTGTTGCTAGGGTTAAAGAAATCTGCCTCAAGGCCTTCAGAAAAAACAGCAAAGGCACCTGGAGGCTAAAATAAATGACAGTGAAACTGCAGRAAATGCAATTACTAAAGTTACTTTTTAATTAATTAATTAAAGGCTTGAGTGAAAAAGTTTTGTGCCGAGGCCCAAGTCAGTCACTTAAATTTAATGTTCATTAAAGATCTTATGTCAATATAACCACTTAAGACATATGCATTTAAAAAACTGAAGTTGAACTCAAGTTGAGAAAACAATGATAAATATTAAATTGATTTTGTAAATTTTTTAGAGGACAAAGATATTTTTTGTGAGTGGTGCCAACTACTGAGTTTCAATAAGCACATTTATTGCTTAGGCTTATTGTTGTGCTGTCCCTGTTAAACAAATATATAAACTAAATTTGCACATCACTTTGTTCTGTTCTGTTAACATTTGGCACAGCATCATAACTTGTTTTTTGAAAGTTGGCTAAAATATATATCATAACTGTGGTCTTCAGTTGAGTTTCTAAAGCAGGGTTGTCAAATTCATTTCCACTGAGGGCTACATGAGAGGTGGCCCTCAAAGGGCCTTGAATTCTGAATTCTCCCACTTTCTTACTGGGAGTTCCCATGCACAATTGACATGCATYATGGGAGATTTAGTTTATGGTCAATGTTGGCTTTAAAACAGCTTATTTTGAGACATTAATACAAGGTTATTCAACTAAATTGCTCAAAGATCCACAGTTCTTCAAATCCAACAGCTCAGGGGCAAGAAAARTGTTGTTGTCCTTTACCTTTTAAATGTGTTTATTTTGTAGTTTTTGGCCAAGAATTATTCATTTATAACTTACCTTTGAAAGCAAAATTATTATTATACCGTATTTAGCAAAAATAATAATTATTTTTTTCACGGGGCTTTTGGCATGCAGGCCTGACAGAAGTCACCCACAGCCCACCTATGGCCCATGGGCCTTGTATTTGATACATGGGTTCTAAAGCAAAGCCAAAAATTTGCTAATATGGTGTGATCATTGTTTTTTTTTTTACGGTAAGCTTGTTTGCAGTGTCTTGCAGCCGCTGGGACTTGGGCAGATTGTTGAACATGGCTGCAGCTCACAGCTGAGGCCATCCACAGTCTGAGTTAATTACAGGAGCTCTGCTCATTCAGCAGGTTCACCTCACAGTTTCTGAAACGTAGGCAGTTTTGAGTCTCAGAGCACCTATCATCATCAGCTTATTGCTCAGGTCAGTGGCGACTGGGCCATAGGGGGTGCTAACCCTCCCTGGTAAGAGGAAGGAAAATGTAAAATACAYTTTTTATAAATCCAGTTATGAATTTTGATTTTGCCCACTAGTGTGTCCCTACATGCGATATGAATTATATAAACTAGATTTCTTCAACTAACAGCATGTATTCAGCACAGAGCTTCCACAGACTGGTATTGTTTCTGTGGGTGCTGGTCAGAGTCTAATAACCAGTCACACAGTTACTTGGCAGATTAAAAYGTTTATTTGGCTAATCAGTGTTTCAGAACTTTGTGGTCTTGGAGTGCTGAAAATAATATGTAAATTTATAACTATTATTGGGCAGCTGCAGACGGGGTTAGGGGAGTCATCCTGGAACCAGAAGGTTGCTGGTTCGATGCCCCGTCCAGCTGTCTCAGTTGATGTGTCCTTGGGCAAGACACTTAATGCCTCTGATGTGTGTCCCATCAGTATATGAATGTGATTGGCACTGATTAGTCTCCACAGATGATTGTRAATGTTAGCTTTGTAGAGATCTGTGTGAACGGGTGAATGAGGACACAGATTGTAGTGTGAAGCACTTTGAGTGTCCTGGATGAATAGAAAAGCACTATTTAAGTACAGTCCATTTACCTTTTTTTTTTTGCTCAAAGACACTCACACAGAGAAATAGGGATAAATAACAATTATTGTGACAGTGGGTGATAAAGAGGGATCAGGTCAAGATGTGATTATTTTTGTTTTATTTCCTTACATCCCCTTTTTTTTCTTTCTTACTGTACCTAATCTTCCACTTATCTGAGATTTGTCACAGGGCGATTGCTTGTTTTATAGGCCTACAAACAAAAAACAATAACAATTAGGTAAAAGTCTTTAAATGTAAAATCTAATCCTAAATATTAACAGCTAAAATATTTGTTAAATAACTTTTTTTTGCTTTTCATCATCTCATCTGCTAGTAAAATGTCTTTCTTTTCCTAAATTAGTTTAGTTTGTTACCACAGTAAAACAGGGGACATGCTGTAGCCTACCGTATATGTATATCATTTTTTCCGGCAACTTAACAAGGCACATTGAGTTAAAACCAGTTTTATATTCCTAGTGAAATAAAAAGGCCATTTTATATAAAATATTTGATCAATACTGCTAAAACAATGAAAACTGTACTTAAAAGTCAAACACACCCATGTGACAACTGTACTTTAGTCAGGATTCCTACACATTTTCCAGCTGAAACCTTTTTCATACTTTTCCAGACCAAGTAAGTATCTATTATGTTTTTGTTGTTGATTGTAAAGTCACTTTTGACATAAGTATGGTTTTATTATTTGTATGTTTTAAGCATCATAAAACCACAAGACTTTAAAACAAATGGAAAAAGTGTATCACAGTGTTAACTATCTGCAGGTATACTGCAATATAACATGAAAAGTCTGTTTGGTGAAGTTCACTGTCTTGTCCTGTCAAAATAAAAAGTGCTGAGGACTGAATTATGAACACTGTCAGTGAGTAGCTTGTGTTACCATCCCTCCATCCATCCATCCATCCATCCATCCATCCATCCATCCCCACTTCTTCCTTTCAGGGTCAAGGGAGTTGCTGGTTCCCATGCCCAGCAATCACTGTGTGAGGGGTGGGGTACACCCTGGACAGGCCTCCAGTCCATCACAGGACCACATAGAGACAAAGAACTATTCATTTTCTCACTCACACGACAATGAAGAATTACCAGTTAGCCTGATGTTTTTGGTCTGTGGGAGGAAGCCAGAGTACCCGGAGAGAACCCACACACGCACAGAGAGAACATGCAAACCCAGATGGGGTTCAATATGGCTAAAAACGGAGCCACCACACTGTCCTCGTCTGTTACTAAGTCTTCACAAATACTGGAAAGTCTCAAACTTGTTTGCTTACTTCTAAACAAGCTATACACACTGCAAAGGTTTCTTTTTCTCTTAGTCCTAAAATTTCTAATGGAAAGAAAATTTTACATCGCAACATTGTCCTAATGCATCTCAGTAATCCAAGTAAAAAAAACAGGTCTTCTGAATAGTTTCTTCTTTAATGAAAGAGAGAGTAGATGAAGATGAAATGCTTTTCTTTTCTTTTTTTTTTTGACATTGTGATTTTTGACAATTTGCCATTTTTACTTTAAGGTTCAAATAGATTTTTTAGATTCAAGCAAATTTTATCTAAAGGGGTAGTAAAAATACTGTTTAAAGCATGAAGGGTGCAAATCCCTTTGATAAGTAACTCAAAACCAAAATACTGATGAATCAAACTTGAGACTTTGACCCAAAAGGAGATCATGTTGTTTTAGTACCTTTTTTAAAGAAACAAAAAATTCTACCTCATAAAATGAAACGGGGAACTAAATAGCAACCCCCTTCTGTTATCAAAAAGAAATAAATTGTATAGGTCCTCTGGATGGGTTCTTCTCTAATGAAACGTTTCGTCTCTCCTCCAAGAGACTTCTTCAGTCTGAGA